GTAAGAAAAAAAAAAAAAAAAAAAAAAAAAAGGAAAGAAATAAAGCAATAAAGAAGCTGTCCATTTTTAGCCCACCCCAATGAAATATTGGAACCCAATTCACACAAAAATACTCTGTAGAAATAAACACAAGCTGGCAATTGGCATCTTAAAGAAAAACAGAAAACCCGTTTTTGCGCCTTTAATTACTTAAGTGCAGCTGCCAATCCACTAGAAGCTGAAACTTTCAGTGTTGGGGAAACTGAGTTACTGCCGAGAAAAACATCAAACAGAGCAGATGTAACATTCGGTGACTCAATCCTAGCATCAATGGTAGATGGAGTCTCATCAGGTGATATACTAACCTGAAGATTCACGAACATACCAGCAGAAGTTTATTAGAGGATATGTATTCTTTTATTTGTAAGAAAATGGTGATTTTGTCGTTATATGCATTATCATATTTTATACTCACAAGCATTTTCGTTGTGTCCAACCAAGTCAAAAAAACTGAAGTCCCTTTCTTAAGAGGTCGGCTTTCAAATGTATTACGGAAGGTCGAAAGTGCAAATTCATCAACGGGAGTCGGTGATTTCACTCTTGTCGAGATGGCCTCACTCAAGGCATCCCAAAATGTTTTACCGTCCACGTCCCTTACTAGAATAATATGCAGTGATTTCTCTAGAGGAGCTGCACTTCATCAAGTTCAAACTTATTGACACGTAATAATAGTCGCCCCTCAAATAAATCTTGTTTTCTCGAAGACCATTACCTTGGAAAATGGAATTAAAAACCAACGGATCTTTTTCTAGTTCTGCATATGCATGTCCTTTCCAGGCATCTAACTTACTGAAGACTAACGGGTTCGTGTATAATCCAGCAGCATAGACCTTAACACCGATTATTGCAAATACCTTTTCCCTGCATCCTAATTTATATTGTTCAAGACAAAGTAGTCCTTAGGTATCATGATCACAGATTAGTAAAAATTAGATCTTTTTGTGAATGGTAATGTAACTTACCAATGCCAAGTAATGTTAATGAAGATGGACAACCTGGAACTTCCAGTGATTTTCGAAACTTCACCTTGGTTACAGGTTCTTCAGTGTATTCTGAACTTGTAAGAAGAGCCATCAAACGAACATTGTCAGATGAATATACAAATACAATACTCCATACAGAACATGGTAAAATCCATCTAATCCTTGACGTGTGGAGGACTAGATGAAAACCCAACCTAAGGCAAACTATAAACTTACCACCAGACTTTAGCTTCGGAAGGAAGAACATAGTGTTACATCTTTTGGAGAACTTTTCAAGATAATTTTACGGGTTAAACGGCACCAAAAGAATGAATTCCACACCTCCTCACTTTCTCATTTTTATTACATATCTCCAATTTATCTAGAATAAAGATGATCAATGATTGCCACCCAAATAAAAGATGTTGGACTTCAACATTCCAGAGCTCGAAGAACCTCACAGTGTTCCTCCTCTTCAATTTACCTTTTTTCTTCCTTCAAAACAGTACACTGAACATCTTCCCACCAACAGTAAGCTAAATTTGCTAATTCCCTAATAATTCAGATATCCCACCAAATAACTTGAAGAACCCAAAATGGATAAGAACAAAAACCAACCAAATGCACATCTCAGAAGCAAATAACCGAGCAAAATACAGGATTCTCAGCAAATGAAAAAAAACCACACATTTCCCAACTGCTGAAAGTAAGTTGAATTTCAACGATTTCATTTCTTTTCCTCATCTTCACCTGAAGAAGATGAAGCGGCTCTCGATGCAGGCCATTTGCGCAGTCCAGGGTTCGTCTTCATACGGCCATGGCGATGATGAGGAGAGAACGCTGATAAGTTGGTGAGAATTTGGCTGTGTATTGATAATGTGTTGCTTGGGGAATTTGCCGGTAAGTAAAATCTGGGGTTTGAAGCAGAGGCGTTGGTTATGGCGGGTGATGAATGGGAGAGGAATGTGGGTATCGCAAATGCTGTAGCAGAAGCCATTTTCACTTTTCAGTGATTAATGAGAGTACGGAAGTCGTCTAATAGAAAATCTCCCAAATCTGAATCAATATATATAAGGGAGTCCAGATCTGATTCAAAAATACGATTAGGCGATTTGAGTGTCCGTTGATAGGGATATTAGTACCGACCGAATAAAGACCTGTAAAACCAAGACCAGACGAACTCTAAAGATCGAAATTAGCATAGTCTCGGGTCGAGCAACTTGAGGACCGTCGACCTACGGCTCGACGGAGCAGTATGGTCTGGGGTCGAGCGGCCCATGTTAGAGTATAATACCAGACGTTCCAATCTGATCGGATATTTTTCTACTTGTAAAGACAATTTATTGGAATTTATATTATTTTGAGGTATTGCTTTATCTTATGTCTTTGCATTTATCTTATATTTGCACATATGATGAAGTCCTTAGATCATTATTAGCTACGAGTAAGGGTGTGCATCGGTCGGTTCGGTCGACTGACTGAACTGAATTAGGAAAACCGAAATAACTGAACCATATTATGCCAATAACCGAACAGACCGAATTATCAATTTAAACCGAACATTAACCGACCGAACTTCTTGGTCGGTTTCGGTTGGTTTGGTCAAACCGACCGAACTATACATTTTAAAAAATATATATAATATAACCAGTATATATATATATATATATTCGGTCTGTTCGGTTATTTCGGTCATTTGGTGTCCGAAACCGACACCGACCGAAATAACCGAAAAAACATTCGACTAAAACCGAAAACCGACCGAGTCGAATAAAAACCGAACTGAAATTTTCGGTTCGGTCGGTTTCGGTCAGTTTTTTCGATTTTAGTCAAATTATGCACACCCCTAGCTACGAGGCATGGTTGCGCATTTAATGGCAATCATGGAACATGTCTTTAAAGCTGTGATCTTAAATAAGTTCCAAGTCGATGGGTATTTCGAGACAGGACATTGAATTACCCGGTTAGACTTGTGCATATGATGCATGCTCGTCGGACGAGGATGTTGCATTCCATCAACATTAGCTTGTGGTCGCAAATGCATGTATGCGGGTGCTTGTTGGGGAACAAGTTCACTGAACATGGCCCGATGAAAATTCTTAGCTGGAAGTTTTTAACTGTCGAATAAGAATTTTCATGTTGCAATAGTACATGACTGATCCTCTGACTTGAGGCACGATAGTAATCTTGTGCATGTTACACTTTACCTTGATTTGTCCTTTGATTGCTAGACAATCATTAAAGGGATATTTTGGGTAATGTATTAATGTATATGGAGGTTTGTCTGTGGCCAACATAGAATTCGGCACTTATGTGGATAAGTGAATTTCCTATGTTTTTTATAGTTTGTGATTCAAAGACCTTGGCAAAGGCGGGATGAATATGGATTCATAAAGGAATCACTAAACTTGAAATGGAATCATAGTTATTAAATCAATTGGGTTTCGACTTATAAATCCATGCCCAAGATTTAATCGGGAAATTAGTTGTCGGAAGGATTTTACATGTATGCACTTGCAATTGAAAAGGTTTACTCGTTATTTCACTTAACACTAGATAATCATGCTACTTGCAAGGTGTTACCATGATTTGTGGGTTCTTGAAATTAAAGAGTTAATTTCAAAGAATATAAATTAATTAGATTAATTTAAATTACAAACGAGTTGCAAACCCACTACTAGTGTTAATCGTGAACCTAAAAGGGTCACACCATATTTTGGATGATGACATTTTAAAATTGGTATGTCCAATAGTTGGATTAATTGACAAGACTTAATTAAATAATATGATTATTTAATTAAAATCTAATTTTGATTAGATGTCAGTTAAAGAAATAATATAAATTAATCAATTGGATTGATTAATTGGGATTTGGATATTAATTGAATAATTATTAGAATTACTAAATTAATAGTTAGATTTTAAAGTTTGACTTTAAAATTCAAATCCAAACATTAATATGATCGTAAAAGTTCAATTATAAACCCTCGTTCTCCTTCCCCCAATTCCGAAAGAAAAGCGCCGCTGTACTCTATTTCGCCGCCTTCCACTGGGCTTCTGAGATTCTCCGGCAGGCATCCCCTGGCCGCTTGGCCTCTTTCCGTTGTTGCAGCTTCCCTCTCCTTGATGCGCAATTGATTGAAGTTCGCCCAAATCCAAGCCGCCTGCTCCGGTGCTGCGATGAGGGGATGGTGCTGCCCTCTTGCTCCGGTGCTGCGGTTCGGTGACGGAGCGGCTCCGGTGCTGTGGTTCTGCGGTGTTGCCCTGTTTCAGTTTCGCGATTATTGACCACCGTGGAGCTGCGGCGGGTTTTGGACGAGGTGCGGCTCAGCGGGAAGGGGTCGGGTGCAGCTCCGGCGGCTTGCGGCTTCTAGTCGGAGTGGCTAGGGCTGATACTTCGGCTCGGCTCCCACTCCTGGTTTTCTGACGCGGGGTCCTTGGTTTGCTTGCCGATCGGTTTCGAGTTGCTAGTGGTGTTAGTCGGCTTGGCCCGGCTCGGTGGTGGCTGGGCACCCTGCGTTCACACTTGAATTGATTAATTACGGTACCGTCCCAAGTGTGAACGCTGTGCTGTATGTTCAGTAGCTCGTCCAACTTGAAATCAAGTGACCAATTCAAGCAGGACGAGGTACTGAACATACAGCGTTGTGTTCACACTTGAATTGATTAATTACGGTACCGTCTCTAGTGTGAACGCAACGCAGTATGTTCGATAACCAATTCAAGCAGGACGAGGTACTGAACATACATCGTTGCGTTCACACTAGGGTCAGTACCGTAATTAATTAATTCAAGTGTGAACATACAGCAAGCGGGGGCTTGGAGTGTTTGTCGTTGGTATTGAGTTGCTAGTGGTGTTAGTCGGCTTGATACTGCGGCAGATGGGTGCTATCTGGAGTTTTTCGGCTTGGGGAGAATTGGCCTTTTGGGGATATTCCGATGCTTGGAATTCGGCTCAGCTAGGCGGTTAGGCAGTGGAGGGGTCGGCCTTCTCGGGCTAAGGGATTCCTCTGGGGTTGATTTGGTACTTGTTGGTTTGTCTCGGATTTGCTTATGTGGAAGGGCTTTGATGTTTTTTATGTTTCGTTGTTTAGTTTTAGGTTGGTTGGCTGTGAGTGTTTGTGTTGTATTAGTTTCCTGTGTTTTTGGTTTGGGCCGTTGGCCCCTGTGCGCCCAGTGTCACTTTTATTACCCTGTGGGGGTCCGACACTCGGGTATTACCCTGTGGGGGTCTTTGTATTGTGCTGTTGTTTTTTGTGTCTTTTAGTGTTGTTGAGTATTACCCCGTTGGGGTCGGTTTTAGGCGGTCTTTTGACCTGTCCTCCCAGTTTTCTCAGGTGTTAGCTGCTTATATTCGGCTGTTGGCTGTTTATATTCGGCTGGTGGCTGTAATTTTGCACATTTGTGCCCTTTTATAATATATCTATCATTTCGGCCCAAAAAAAAAAAACATTAATATGATCTATATCTATATATATATATAGAGGTTGTTGGAAAAATACATGTTGATACCCAATTTGGCTTCGATTAAATAGAAATAAAAACATCCTTTTTAATAGTTTTGTTCTTCAATTTCGTACAAGAGATTAGACTTATAATCGACCGTTGACCGTCCGATTTTCGACATCAACAGTTTGGCGCTAGAAGAAAGGCTCCGTAATTTGCTCGGAGTCAATTTTCACCAGAAAATGGCTACATTTCCACCGGAAAATATTCCGTCAAGGCTTGGTACGAACACTCGTATTCTTCTTTTAACCTTTCAACATCCTTGATCCTACTTTTTAGATACTGAAGAAATAAACCCCAAGAGATTCAAGAATGCTCATCCTTTTGTTCCTCTTTTCCCATAAATCTTCCTTATGATCTAAAAATTCCCCTTTCGATTTGAGTCTTGAAGTGAGAAAAAAACTCACACGAAATCTTTGATTTTATTACATTTTGGGTTGAGAAAATTAAAATCTAAAACTCTTGCATATGACTCGAATGTAAACTCACGCTGATGAATTTTTCTCTTTATTTTCCTTTTCTTTTCCACAATTAAAAATTGACCTACTGTAAAGATAAACTTGTATTTTAATTTTTCTTTTTCTTTTCCTCCACAGACCACTCCAAGTAGGCCACGTAGGTATCATTATTACCTGCTGCACCTTCTCCCATCACATCATTTCAGAATATATAATAATAAAATAGAAAATAAAAATAAAAGATGAAAAGAAAAGATGAATTCTGCCCCGCCTCGGACGGCCAACCTCATGCCGCCGAGACCAACTCCACAGCCAAAGTCCGGCCAGACGACCCCAGGTGCCAGACTGAATTCTACCGAAAGACCTCGCCGGTGCTGACGTTCGGGGCCGACCTCACCTTCCCCGACCTCACAACCACCGGCGACCTCCGATCTACATAGCCGCTGCCCAATTCAGACTTCAAACCGACCTCGCAAGCCGACTTCGTCAACAGCGCCGACCTTGCGACCGTCGAACCAATCTAGTAAACCGACTTCGCCGCCATGGCCGAACTCGTGACCAGTCGGCGCCGACCTCACGAGTCAACCTCGCCGCCACGACCAGCCATCTCAGCGGTAGCATACTCTCTCCGATGCCGACCTCATAATTCAGGTCGGCAATGCTCCACCAACATCGAACGCCAGGCTGACGCAAACTCCTTGCCGCCGAGCTTACCTCGCAGCCGGATCCGACCTCGTTCTCCATGAACCCACTTCGGCCTCCCTGACTTCAGTCGCCGAGGGCCGACCACACCACCGTTTCTATCCAAATCTCTGGCCGACGGGGCGACCTCGCAAACCCGCTCCGTCGCCAGGGCCGACCTGACAAATGACGAGCCGGTCTCACCACGGTCGATCTCACAATCACTGACCTTGAATTTCCTTCCAACGCCGACCCGACCCAAATCGGGTCCTCAAACCACCATGGCCGACCTCAACGTCGCCACCTATCCCGATGTCACAATCGTCCAAACCACAGTCCGAGTTCCAAATCAAACAATAAGGTTTGACCCAACCTCAACCAACCGCAATCGTAACTGCCGGCGCCGACCTCATAATCACCAATTGATCGGCCCCGAAGCTGCATCAACCTCGCCCCAAATCACCTATCGAGCCTCCGTATCGTGGGCGCCGACCTCACCTACCCCAATCTCACAACTGTCGGGCCGAGCCGCGCGAGATGGCAGATCCGACCTGTCTGACAATGATCTCACCGCCGCCGGAAGCAAAACCCGCCCTTAGATTTGAGGTGCCGAGCCGCCATTACCGTCCTCAGATCCAGATGCCAATCTCGCCCAGACGCCGAGGTTCTGTCTAACCTCGACCACCGCCGTCACCGGGGAATGAATTCCGCCGTCAAACCTGGACGCCGAGCCAAGCCAAACTAAGCTGTCTATGAAATATTTAAGGGAAAACGGCGAAGAAGAAAACGAAGAAAATGAAAATCGGGTGAGTAACTTAACCCATCAATTCACACGCATATACACATATATAATAGTGGTAATGCCATTTTGGGTTGCAAAATGAAATCTAGCCATTTTGGGTTGCAAAAGTACATAATTGTCCTTGGACACAATTTTTTTAATTTTTCCCCTTTTCTTTCACCAGCCCGCCCGACATTTTCCACATTTCATTTCTGCGAAAATTTGAAAAAACATTTTAGAGAGACTTGAGAGTGAATTGCTCGGTGAGTGAATCTAGTGCCTTCTTTTATCGATTGCTTGTCCTCCTCCGGCGATTCACATCAAAATTCCCACTATTCGCTGCTCATCCGACTCACGCCTGCAAATCGACCTCCGTCCATCGAGTGCTCTCCTCCTCCGGCGATTTAAGGTGCCGTTCCTTTATTTGTTATTTTTTTTTTTGGTGCTTGTCCTCGTCCGTCGAGTGCTCTCCTCCTCTGCCCGCAAAGAGGCTCACGCCCGACCTTGTCATTATTATTGTGTTTTTAGGGGATTTTTTTAGGGTTCCTTTAGGGTTTTTAGTACTCTCCTGCAATTAAATTTTTTTTCGATTGAAATGTGTATGGTTAAATTGTGGAAATAAATGTGTATTTTGAGTCCAATTATTTCTTTTTTGATTGAAATGTGTATGGTTAAATTGTGGAAATTATTTCAATCAATTTGAGTCCAATGAATTTTTAGCCTAATTTACGAGGTCTATGTGTGTCTATGTTGCCTCTGTTTCGAAATTTTTTAGTCTTATTCTTGTTTGTTTGCATGTAAAGGTGCTGTGTTATATTCTTTGGTTAACTGGCTTGAAGATTACTCATGAAATGTTAAAGGGTTTGTTAGCAGGGCAAGCTCACTGTATTGGATTTAAGTTTTGAAAGAATGAGGAGCTGGATGCATAAAATTTGAAATTCTCTACATATCTTTTGATATTACCGGTAATTATGGTTTTGAAGTTTCTAAGTCATAATATCTTACGATGGCTGCAATCTGGGATGTGATTTTAGGTTCCGATGGAGACAACAGTATCGACGGGAATACCCAGAAGCTTTCTTCAAAAAAGCTGAGGCTAGGTACTTTTATATTTTCCTTTTCTGTTTCGGATTTATGATTTCTTTTCAGGATTTGCTATTTCTTCTTTTGTTCTCCGTTTTTCTGTAGTACAAGTTCCATCATCAGTCAGGTGGAATTTGTGACTTTTTTCTGTCATGTTGTGGATTGTGACTTAATATTGTTGTATTTTGTATATAGTTTAGATATAATGGCGCATTTTATGCCTTCTTTGTGGGAGCTCTAAAGTGTTATATTACTTTCAGAGAGATAGGTGCACAATGTACTAATATAAAGCTTCATTGGAGTATGTTTATACTCATGCAGTTTCCTCCAGTTATTTATTGCAGTAGCTCAAAAGCTTCCTAGAAACTTTTATTCTTATGTGAAGCAGGACTTGGTGGAAATTTATTACAGTTACTTTGGTCAGATTTCTTAACCATGATAAGATGAATTTGTTGTTTTGTTCTGTACTTTCTCTTGATTCAAATAAGATCCTCTATAGACAAAGTAACACTTGTCTTTCTATTGTATCGGACTTGAATCTCGTGCTTTTGCATTTTATAACTGTTTTCATTGCCTTAGTAATCTCAAAGTAATTTTTGGTATTTTGTAAATGGAAATATATTTCCAACGATTTCTGTTCATATGTCGGTTTAGGATGAAATATATATTTATTTTATGGTGTTATACAGGAAAAGCTTAATATTTGGCTAGGTGTGAAAATGAGATTGTAGGTGTGAAGAGTTGGGGTAATAGTATGCCGAAATATTATGTTTGGAAGTGGGCAAATTCTCATGAACTCATCTGTTGGTTATGAGCGAGTCGAATACATATTCAATTCTTTCTTTCTTCCTTTCTTCTTCTTCTTCTTCTTCTTTTCTATTTTGCTTTTCTTTTTTTCCCTTTCTGTTTTTTGTCTGGGTCCTCCTCAATGTTTGCTGGTCTTTCTGTTCACCTGAAAATTTTCTACTAGACAAATTCGAACATAGTTAATTTGTTTCTCATTTATGAAAAACTGATGCGGTTTTGAATGACCATTCAGGGGAAAAGGAGATTATCAATTTGACTTTACGCCATCTCCACGGATTATCAAATTGTCCGGGTCTTGCTAGAGTACTTCTTGGGTTGATCGGGGTCAGCTCGCGCTCCACCGGCGGGAGATTGGGAAAACTTCGACGGGCGGTTACCCAACAATCTTTTTCTAGAAATGAATGTGATGCGAAGGGAATTCCATGAGAGATTGGGAAAACTTCCTTCACAATGTAAACTTGTCCTCTATTGTTATTAAATGTAATAAGCCTAAATTGATGTGTTTATTTTGTTGAGGATGTTGGTCATTGAGTTGCAGGTATTGACAAGGGACTTGTCAAAGTGATTTTATGTGTAGAGTTAGTATTAGCCAACTCAAAATAGAGCCATATGCCACCCTATTTATGTCCTAAGTTTTTAGTTAATCGGGATTTTGCTACTACATTGATACTGTGAAGTCGTTCAGTCATCTTAATTTTCACCTGCTACATGCCATGTTTATTGTCTGCATTCTTAAACGTACTTTTTTTTTTGGATAATTTTCTGCAATTCTCATTTTTGTAATAATGTAAATTGAGGCATTTCTTCATTTTCTTAATTTTGAAAACAAATCTTCAAACAAACCTCTTACCTCTTTGTGGTGCTAGTTCTTGGAACACGGCAGAGATGGCATCTACTAATGAGGTATGTTGTTTTTTGGTTAACAAAGAGTTTTGTAGTTTATGTGATAAAAATTATTTTTTTTGTTCAACAAAGTAATGAGTTTATGTAAATTTTATGTTTTTTGCTCAACGTTGAAGAAGTTGTTAGTTTAACTTAAAACATTGAAGAAACAGGTTTCTTGAGCAAGAAACCTGTTTCTTATTCAAGAAACCTGTTTTTTGGCTAAGAAAATGTTTCTTGTTCAAGAAACAGGTGAACAAGAAACAGGTTTCTTGGCCAAGAAACTTGTTTCTCGCTCAAGAAACCTGTTTCTCGGCCAAGAAACTTGTTTCTCGTTCAAGAAACCTGTTTTTCGGCCAAGAAACTTGTTTCTTGTGCAAGAAACCTGTTCCAGTTGAGTAAATGGATTCGTAAATTGTTTCATAAACTTCTCTTTGTCGGTTTGATGGATGATTGTGAATTTGTATGTCATGTTATTTGATTGGAGTTGTTTGGTTTCCAGTTGAAACTAATATTTTTTTGGGTGAATTAGCAGGCATGAGCAATCCAATATGAAATATTTTGCATTTTTAGTTAAGTATGAGCTTCTCTGCATTTATTTATGTTAAAAAGAAAACAAATACTGAATGAACTCTACTGTTATGTACACATTGCAGTTGACTTCTTTGTTAGCTGAAGTTGGGCTAAATATCCAGGAAGCACATGCCTTTTCCACTGTGGATGACTATTCTCTAGATGTCTTTGTCGTAGATGGATGGTCATTTGAGGTATGTGCACATTTTTTATTATCATTTTCTGTCTGGAATATCGGGAACCATCCTTTTCTTTTAACAGGTCACTCTGGAAGAGCAACCAAACGTGACTTTTGTGTGCCGCTCAGCCGAGCAATGCTGGGAAATGGTTCTGTTGAGAGTTAATCAAGAAATAACGAAGCAAATACATTTGGGCAAGAAAGGATTACCAACTCTACAGCCCTCGACTAGCATCAACGAGCTCAAAATGTTTGGTTTTCGTTCTTTGTCCATTGTTCAGGTACACCCTTAAAAAATCGAGCATCTATAAATATAATTGCAACTTGGGACATGTGTTATTTTCAATGTTAATTCGATCCTTTATACGAATGCTAATTTTTAGATTATAATGTACTCAGGCAATCGAGGCAATCGATCCAAATCATGAGTGCACGGAGTATTGGAAAAAACAAGCTCCTGAACAAGAAATCGATGTCAAGTTCAAAAGATAAATTAGAGGCTAATCAGAAGAGATTAAAAGAACACAAGAATGAAAAGTTACAGTGAATTTAGAAAGCTGAAAGATTTTTTTTATTTCTTTTTTTTTAGAAGAACTTTTTTAGGTGCTGAAGCTTTGGTCTCTTAGACTTGTTTTTTAGAGAATATGTTAGTGTTGGAAATTTTAGAGCAGATGTTAGTGTTTTTTTTTTCCTTGAATAGGCCAAAAGATCATATTCTTGCACAAACTCTAACTGTAGTCAATGGTTTACATAAGAGTCTGAGTTCATATTCTCTTGCATTTTAGTTTCTGTACTGTTTGTTCATTTTGGTAATGTACAAATATATGAACTGAATTTTTTGCTTAGTTTGTTAGTGTTTAAATTTTACTTATAATTTCAACAAACAAAATACTTATGAATACTAATAAGAATTTTTCTTTAATGTTGGTGTTTAAATTGAAACTAAGAATTGCCAACTTCTATCCATAACAAAACAAAACAATGCTTAACTCAGAATAAAAGTACAAAAAAAGGCTAAATTTTGAACTGAAGCGGAGCAAGAAACAAGAAACAGGTTTCTTGAACAAGAAACAAGTATCTTGAGCTCAAGAAACCAGTTTCTTCCTCAAGAAAAAACCTCCTGTTTCTTGTTCTAGAAACAAGTTTCTTGAGCAAGAAACATGTTTCTTGAGGAAGAAACTTGTTCTTGAACCAGGTTTCTTGAGCTCAAGAAATAGGTTTCTTCCTCAAGAAACCAGTTTCTTGTTCCTTTTCGAACATACGACATTCCAGATACTCTGAACCTCGTCTTTTTTTGAAGGTGAGTGTGCTGAAAAATTCTAAAGTGAGGTTGTGGTACGCCAGCTTGGCCATTGTGGCATATTTTGTCAATCTAAGCGTCTCTAGGTACCCTTTGACCTCCATTAGAATACCGAGAACCTCCAGTAAGTTGAAGTCGAACGAGTTCGGTTTGACCATCTTCTTTTGCGGGAGGCGACGATAGGTCTCCTCTTCTCTTTATGAAAATATAGCAAAGGGTGCATTATAAACTGCCGGAAGTTGCAGTCTTCAGCCATGGAATCAGATGAACACGGTGGATCCTGGCTCGAGCCGTCCCCTACAGAAGGCTGCAACACCGAGCCCGGTCGGACTCTCTGTTTCTTGCTCCTATGCATCCATACTCATAAAGTTGTTAATGAGGTATGATGTTTTTTTGCACAAAAATAAGTTTTGTAGTTTACGTGGAAAAACTTCAGTTTTTTTGTTCAAGAAACTAATGAGTTTCTAATGAGTTTATGTTGTTTACTCAAGAAAGAGTTTGTAGTTTAACTTCCGTTTTCTTGACTAGAAACAGGCTTCTTCACAAGAAACAGACTTCATGAGCCGGAAGCCTGTTTCTTGACAAGAAGCCTGTTTCTTGACAAGAAACCTGTCTCTTGCTCAAGAAACCTGTTTCTTGTAAAGAAGCCTATTTTTTGAACAAGAAATTGGTTTTTAACCTGTTTTTTAATATTGTGTTTTTAAAAAAATTTAAAAAATATTGATTGTTTCATGATTGTTAGGGGGACTGTTGGAGTTGGAGATGGGGTAAAGGTTACACTTGGGGCGGCAGAATCAGTTGTCAGACGAAGCCTAAAGTAATATGCTATATTAAGAGTCAATAGGTGCTTCCGTCTTGATTGGGATCAAAAGGGCATTTGACAACCATCAAACTAGTCGTTGTAGTTAAGTCCCAAGTACTTGGATGCGCAATTGGCAGATTAATGTTGTTTGTGGGTTGATCGTTGAATATTGTTGTTATTTGTTGGTGGAATTTGTTGATGATGTGATCATTGAATATTGTTGTCGTTTGTGAGTTGAATTTGTTGATATTGTGATCATTGAATATTGTTGTTATTTATGGGTGGAAGTTGTTGATGTTAGGAACAATTTTGGTTCTTTCAGGTACAAAAGATAAATGATCATAGAATGCTCACACCTCTGCCGTGCTCTTTTCTTCTCGAGCATTGTAGTTGATGTTTGCACTTAATGTTGGCTGCAAATGAAGTTAAAAGAAAGCAAGTATATCCTTTTAAAATCAAGTGAAACAACATAGACAGGGTCATGATCTATTCACACAGGTTGATAAAAAAAAGTAATATTTAGGAGTTTTTTTTTTTCCTAATACACCTTTTAAGATAATGAATATCGCATTCTCGTGATTCTGTTTTGTACATCACCATGGAAATGAAGAAAAAAACACCTTTGGGTATACAAAGAACTTTCAGGAATTAAAATGCTCTAAAGAAGAGCAGTACTAAAGATAACCAAAAGGATGATAACTAACTCCATCACATACATATAAAAACTAGTTGNCACCCGCCGTTGAGCCCTTGCTCCGGCGAGGCCGATGTCCACATCCAGCTCGGCGATGAGCCCCTACTCTGCCGGGCTGACGTCGTTACTTCGTCCGCCGTGGAGCCCTTGCTCCAGCGAGGCCAATGTCTCCATCCAATCCGGCGACGAGCCCCTGCTCTGCCTGGCTGACGTCGTTATATCGCCCGTCGTTGAGCCCTTGCTCCGGCCAAGCCGATGTCATTATCCAGTCCAGCGACGAGCCCCTGCTCTGCTGGGCTGACGTCGTTACTTCGCCTGTCGTTGAGCCCTTGCTCCGTCAGGCCGACATTTCCATCCAGTCCCGCGACAAGCCCCTGCTCTTCCCGGCTGACGTCTCTACCTTACCTGCCGTTGAGTCCCAGCTCCGACCAGGTCGACATCTCCACTTATCCTGGCGACGAGCCCCTGCTCTGCCGGGTCGACCTCTCCACTTATCCCCTCGACGAGCCCCTGCTCTGCCAGGTTGACGTTTCCACTTCTCCCGGCGACGAGCCCTTGCTCTGCTGGGCCGATGTCTCCACTTATCCCGGCAACGAGCCCATGCTCTACCGGGCCAACGTTATCACTTCCACCACCGCCGCGCCTGTGCTTCGCCAGGTCGGCACCTATATCTCGCCCGCCGATGAGCCCCTTCTCTACCGGGCCAACGTTACCGTCGCCAGACCTGCGCTTCGGCCAGGTCGGCACCTACATCATCACTACGCCCGCCAACGAGCCCCTGCTCTGCCTGGCCAACGTTACTACATTTGCTCCCGCCGAACCTGCACTTCGGCACCTACACATCGCCCGCCGACGAGCCCCTGCTCTGCCGGGTCAACGTTACCACTTCAACTACCGACGAACCTGCTCTTCAGCTAGGTCGACACCTACATCTCGCCCGCTGACGAGCCTCTACTCTGCCGGGCCAACGTGATTATTACTCCCACTGCCGTCTTGCCTTCGCTTCGGCCAAATTAATATCTTTATCTCTCCCGTTGACGAGCCCTAGCTCCACCAGGCCTATCGACACTTCGCCGGCGCGACGAGTCCCTGAGAGCAAGCTTCAACTTTGCAGACGAGGACCATGAGCCGAGCTCAGAAACGCCGCATGTAAAAGACGAAACGAGAGATACGCCAAATCCCAAGTTAAACCACTCTCATATCAAATCAACGACGTCCTCCTACACGGGGCCCACCGACTTGAACACCTGTACGACACGCACCTATCAATACCCATAAAGCTCGGCATTTCTGAAGAAGTCCTACCAATAGGTCTAGGCTATTCTCACTCAGTAAGTGACGTTATTGTATAGATTATTCAATGAGTTAGGTCAAGAATGTAATTTACCTTTTGCTTTTAGAGGCTAGGTCGTCTTAGGCTTAGATCGAGTCGAATCGGCGTAATTAACGTAAGAAACCAAGTGCGGGTCGGGATCAGTACGATGACCCGGCCGGCACTAGCCGGGATCAACTAGGAATTCCGGTCAGGCCAATAATACCACTGAGTTCGAATGCGACACCGGTCAGGTAAGCTGCCACGTAATTATGTGCGGTTCGGATCAGTACGATGGCCTGGCCGGCACGAGTCGGGCTCAACAAAGTAGCCCGGTAAGGCTAAAGTCGCCAATGTAAGAAATGAATAACGAGCTCAAACGCGAAGCTCAGCAAGGCTAGACCGTCGCCCGATTCAACGAGCAAGTCGGAGAGGTAACGCGCCAAAGTAATAAATAAATGCCGAGCCCGATCACGAGGCTCGGCCAAGTAATAAATTTGTGCAGGTCGGGATCAGTACGATGACCCGGCCGGCACTAGCCGGGCTCAACTAGGAAGCTCGGTCAGGCCAATAATACCACCAAGTCCGAACGCGAGATAGGTCAGGTAAGCTGCCACGTAGTTATGTGCAGGTCGGGTCAGTATGATGGCCCGACCAGCACAGGCCGGGCTCAGTCACGTAGCCTGGTCAGGCCACAGTCGCCAACATAAAAAAGTTAATAAATAAGTGCCGAGCTCGATCATGAAGCTCGGCCAGACCAAACCACCACCCGACCCAACGAGCAGATCGGATTGGTAATGCGCCATCATAATCATTAGTGCAATAAATTGCACAAGTCAGGCTCGACAAAGAAGCCCGATCAGGCCGAGATGCCGTAAAACTAAAGGCCTACGGGCCGAAAGGCCGAAGTGCCCTAAAACTAAAAAAGTCGAACTCCAAAAATAGTTCGGCACAACAAATTATACGGCAAGGTGCGCTCATTTATCATACATTCATCACATATATCCATCATACATTCACGCATTCCTCATATGATCGCACTATGCGTCCAGTCTCGTAAGAAATAAAGAGCTCGAAGCTCAATCGAACAAAGAGCTCAAAGCTCACTCAGACAAAGAGCTCTAAGCTCACTCATGTCGACAATTCAAAATGCATTCCTGCATAAAAACGGGTACCAAATTACCCAACCAGACCGCCCAGGCCCCATTCAATAGCAAATTTGCAAAATTGCCCATTATCTCAAACTGACTCAACTCGTCAAAGATTAAAGCGTGGTTATCATAAATACGTCAGGCCAAAGCCTGAAATGATCAACAAAACGCGCAAGGGTCCCAAAGTGCCCGAAAACAATAAAACAACGATCTGAGAAACCAAAGTTACTCGA